GGAAGAGGAACACCTCCCATTTGGCAGGAATCTCCCCAATGCACCGGCGCTTGCCCAGGCCAAACAGCAAGACCTTCTCGCACACTGGCTTGTTCAAGGTGGTCTCCCCATCGGTGAGGAAGCGCTCTGGGCGGAACTCAAAGGGGTCCCCCCATGTCTCCCTGCAAGGGAAGAGGAGATGGAGAATCCCAGCTGAGGGAAGATGCTGATGTGGATTTTTACTGAGAACCCAAGGGTTAGAACACGTATGTATATACATTATATTATCGATGTCCTATATCAAATAGCATATGTACATATTAAATATAAATGTTATATAATATACAGTATATTTGTATGTTTGTGGGTGTGTGTGTGAACATAGGGCCTGTGCACTGTCCCAGAGCTTTTTCACTGAAGGCTGGTGCTCTACCACTTGAGCCACAACTCCACTTTGAGATCTTTGGTGGTTTATTGGAGATGAGAGTCTTATGGACTTTCCTGCCCAGGCTAGCTTTGAACTGTGATCCTTCAATCTCAGTTTCCTGATAGCTAAGATGACAGGTGTGAGCACCAGTGCCCAGGCACAATATTTTGTGTATGTGTGTGCCAGTCCTGGGGTTTGAACTCAGGATCTAGACACTGTGCCTGAGCTGCTTTTGCTCAAGGCTAGCACTTTACTATGTATTATATATCATAAATATTACATTACGTGCCATAATCATATATTGTGTAATTTATATTGTATATTTTAAGTTACATATTTTGTGTTGGCACTAGGGCTTGAATTCAGGGCCTCACACTTTTATTTATTTATTTTTTGTCACGTGTGGGGCTTGAACTCTGGGCCTGGGCGCTGTCCCTCAGCTCTTCAGCTCAAGGTGAGTGCTCTACCACTTGAGCCATGGATCCATTTCTGGTTTTCTGATGTATTTTATTGTAGATAAATCTCACAGACATTCCTGCCTGGGCTGGCTTTGAACCATAATCCTCAGATCTCAGCCTCCTGAGTAGCTAAGATGACAGGCCTGAACCCCAGGCACCCGGCTACGTTTTTACTTAAGACTCACAGCTCCACTATCAAGTGTTCTGTTTGTTTGTTTGTTTGTTTTCCGGGTCCTGAAGCTATAACTCATGGCCTGGGCACTGTCCCTGAGCTGCTTTTGTTCAAGGCTACTGCCCTACAACTTGAGTCACAGAGCCACTTCCAGCTTTTTCTGTGATTTAATTGGAGATAAGAGTCCCACAGACTTTCCTGCCTGCGCTGGCTTCAAACCTGGATCCTCAGACCTCAGCCTCCTGAGCAGCAGAGATGACAGGTGTGAGCCACCCGTGTGAGCCACAGGGCAGCCCTGACAGCGCAGGCGCGCTGCATACTCACGGGTCATGGTTGACCTGCCACTGGTTGATGAAGACGCATCGCTCTTTGGGAATGTAGAATCCGTTCAGCGTGGTGTCCTTCGTTGTGCTGGGGGAAGGAGGAGGATCTGTCAGCCTCGGGGGCTGGAAGAGCTGGGTGCACCTGCTCCACTCACCACCACACCCCAGTACCTTCCCACCACCTGAGTGGGGAGGGGAGAGAGATGGGGGCTGGGAGAAGGGGCAACAGGGGAGCCCTTTCCTCAGCCCCTGGTCCTCAGCGTCAGCATGTGCCCACTCTGCTGGGTGCCCAGCTGGGCACTGGGCCCTGCTGTGCAGGCAAGGAGCAGGTGGGTGGCCAGGGCCAGACCAGCCTTGCAGTTACTTATTTATTTATTTTTGTGCTGGTCCTGGGGCTTGAACTCAGGGAGCTGTCCCTGAGCCTCTTTGTGCTCAAGGCTAGTGCTCTGCCAATGGAGCCACAGCACCACTTCTGGTTTTTGAATGGTCCACTGGTGATAAGAGTCTCATGGAGAATTTTCTGCCTGGCTGGCTTTGAGCCTTGATCCTCAGAGCTCAGCCTTCTGAGTTGTTAGGATGACAGGCATGAGCCACCGACTCCTGACTGCTCCTGGGCTTTTGTGTTCAAGGCTAGGGCTCTACTACATGAACTACAGCTCTACTTCCAGCTTTTGTGGTGGTTCATTGGAGATAAGAGTCTCATAGACTTTCTTGCTAGGACTGCCTCAGAGGTACAGTGCTCAGATTTCAGCTTCCTGAGCAGCAGGGATTACAGGTGTGAGCCACCAGTATTATGGGACCTGGCTTGTTTTTGTTTTGTGCAGATACGTGGAGCAACTGGGAATTTGAAGCTTTTTATTCTAGGAATTACTAGATCAACATGCAGGATTAAGTAAATGTTGACTAACTCAAAAACTAGCTCTCAGGGCTTGAAATTCTAGAAAATATTGAAGGGTAAGCTCTGCCAGGTGGATAAACAAAAACAAAAAACTTCTGAGGGAATGGAGTGTGCCAGGATTTATTTGGACAAGGGTTCGATTCTGAAGGCCTACAAATTCTAGGTAGAAGATTCAACAGCAAAGCTGGGCACCAGTGCTCACTCTTGTAATCTTTTCTACTCAGGAGACTAGGATCTGAGCATCATCCTTTGGAGGCCAGCTTGGGCAGAAAATTCCTCTAAGACTCTTAATTTCAATGAATCTACAAAAAGCCGGAAGTGGAGCTGGGACTCAAGTGGTAGAGCGCTAGCCTTGAGTAAAAAAGCTCAGGGACAGCGCCCAGGTCCTGAGTTCAAGCCCCAGACATGGGCATGTGCATGCATGCATGCATGCACGCGTGCACACACACACCAAAAGAACACAAAGAGGGCAGAAGAGGCACCTGTGGGGGATGGTGAAGGGGACGAAGGAGCTGTGTCTGAACGTCTCCAGGATGAAGGCCTCCAGGTAGGGCAGCTGGGGTCGGTCAGAGAGCCGGGGCCGCCGCTCCCTGCCGACCACTGCGTCTGCAAGCACACAGGACAGTTTTGCGG